GAAATCCAATCCACTCTCAACCCAATAGTCTTACACCCTGGCTCAGAGCTGCATCCATTCAGAGGGTCTTAGTTTCCTAGTGCTGCTGTAAAACATATACCACAAGAACAGAAATGTATTTTCTCACAGTTCTGGAGGCTAAACATCCAAATCAAGGTCTCAGCCATCTCAATTCCTTCCTTGTCGGTAGCCCTGGGCGTTCCTTTGTTCCTTGGTGTTCCTTGGCTTGTAGACGATCTTTACAGGGTGTCTGTCTTCCCCTGTGTGTGTGTCTCTGGTCCATTCTGCTTTTTTGATAACTAAAAAGTGATTAGATTTAGAAACTACTTGGGTGTGGCTTGATTAACATAACAAAGAAACCCTATTTTCAAACAGGGTTATATTTATGGGTATAAAAACAAACAAACGCGTTGCAGTCGAGTCAATTCCAACTCAGCCACGCTATAGCACAGAGTAGAATTGCCCCACAGAGTTTCCAAGGAGCAGCTGGTGAATTTGAACTGCTGACCTTTTGGTTAACAGCCGTAGCTCTTAACCACTGCGCCACCAGGGCTCCATTTACAGGTATAGAGGCTGGGATTTCAATACATATTTTGGGGGGACACAATTCAATCCATAACAGAAGGCCCCCTTTTTCTAAATCGAGCAAGTTGCCTCAGCTTCCAAGTTGGCTGGAACCTCTGTCTCTAATGTATCTTTCACTCTGTGGCTATGACCCTCCTTAAGAACCCTTCAAAGACGTCCATGGACTTTAAGATAAAACCAAGCCCTTATAGTATTTTATAAAAGGATATTTGAGATCTGGGCCCTGCCTTCCTATCGAACTTGTCTCTTTTCCTCTCCCCAGGACCCCTTCCCTCTCCATTTTACTCAACCACCTATAGTCCCCCATCACAGGTCCCTGCATTTGTACAGGCTATATCTCCTTCTTGGTAAAACTTTCTTCACTTGGTTGCCTGGATCCCTTCAATGCATCTTTCAAGATTCAGTCATCACACTCTGGAGGCCTTCCTTCGCCTCAGTTCCCAGTCTCAGAAAAGTACCCCCCAGAAAATTAGGTAGAACCAGCACTTATTTCTCCTATAAAGCATTAGCTCAATTTTAAATAATCTCTCGTGATTTTTTTTTAATCACTTTTTATAGTTTTAATTTTATTTGAGCAGGATTCTCTAAAATTGATTACATGGTCACTTATGGTCTTACAGTTTAATTTGTGCTCTATCTAAAATATTGAACCTGAAGCCACATATTTTCCATCTCTCTTTTCATTCAAAAGCATAATGTATTTTAAAATTTAAATCAAGTGTTTGTCTTTGACTTATTGGTTGGTCTTCATTATCACTAATAAAAATGTATTAATCTGCCTTCATGCTGGGAGGAAATTAGAATATAAAAGGATTAAAAGTCAGGGCATGCCATTTCTCTGGTCCAGAATCTTTACAACTCGCTGGAATATTCTGAGATTGAGTTACCTATGAAAAGATACATACATCATCAATTTCACATGTGCCAAGAGAATTGAGTTGAGAAAGAATGTCAACCAGTGTTAGATATGGTAGTTTTAGAATGGAAAGGAAAGGAACTAGAAAATCAAGCACAGTGTACTTACAAGTTGTTTCTGGTTATTTTAATGAAGGAATGAAAATTCCACATCTCAGCTTGAAATGAGCTCTGCTTCTCTCAACGTACTTTGTATGCGGTGTTTTTTAAGGTGGAAACCAGGATAAAGCCACTCTTTTTTAAGGAACTGAGAAGAAATAAGTCTAAGCAGGGACTGCACAACACAGCCTTAGGAAAGCACTGAGGTCGTTTCCATTCCTATTTAGCAGAAACTTTGGAAGGATATATACTGCCTCATTAGACCATAGACCTGAACTAGCCACACTGCAGTGTTTTGTTTCAAATTACAAACATTCTGACTTAAAAAATTGACAGCTCCCTGTACGATTGCCACTTGGACCATGGACACTTATAAAATAGTGATTTTCTCTGGGGAGGAATGTAACCATTAACATCTGTTAAGCTGAAGGCCGTTCGGGGCCAGAGGCCTGTGAGATTTTCAGTCATGGGCAAACTTGCCGGAAAGGGAGCACAGTTGTGTTTTAGTTACAAATGCGCCCACACCCATCCTCCCTAACTGTATTTCATTTGATTTACATGTACTTCTGACTTACAGAGTGATCTGCTGAGGTTTTCAAAATGGCCATTAGGTTTAAAATGCAATAGCAGAAGATTTACAGCCTGCTTTGCTTGGTTGGTTTGAATGCTGGTCCTAAAACCCTTTTGGGCCATCAATAAATGAAAGACAGAGAGACATGGGATACATTTGTGCTGTTCCAGATGGCCTGTGTCTGACATTCATCCAGCCCCAAAGGTTTAGGTTGGTGACATTCAATATCAGGATCCCCTTCTCTCCTACTTTTCCAGACCCTTAATATCCCCCATCTCCCTGCCCAAAATGCCTTCCAGCTGCACAGGTGCTTTTTGAAGGGGCCCTGGGAAGCTCATTATGTGTGCTCAGAGGCTGCTGTGGATTCTGTCTCTAGTTGCTATGCCACCAGGAGCTGTGGTGACTCAGAACACAGCAATTAAAGATTAAGTGAGAGGCTGTGTCAATTTTTGAAAGTACTTTTGTTTGTCTTCCCTGAATATTCTCCATCTCTAGCCTCTACTTCACAATTCCAGAGGCAGGAAAGTAGAGTGGTTAAGCAGGCTGGTTCTCCAGACAGACTGTTGGGCTCAAATCCTGACTCTATCACTCCATTCAGTGTGACCTTGGACAGGGTGCTGAGTAAACGCTCTGTGCCTCGTGTTTGCCCTTCCATGAAATCTCATGGGGGTTATTGAGAGTTAGTGAGGAAACACCTAAAATACTTAGAATGGTGCCTGCACATAGTAAGTGACTGATGAACATTGCATGTTACGACACTGTGTGTAGGCAGAACATAGGTCAGTGTTACGGAATGAATTGTGTCCTCCAAAAAGATATGTTGAAGGCCTAATTCCTGCACCTGTGAATGTGACCTTGTTTGGAGATAGAGTTTTTATTTCGTTATCGTTTATGTTAACAAGGTCATACTGGAGTAGAGTGTGTCCTCGTCCTAATCCTCACTAGTCCAAGCACTGTCCTATATACAGGGATACAGCAGTGAACAAAACAATTTCTCGACCCTCATGGAGCTTACATCCTAGGGGTGTTCATAGAAGCACACTAAGAAAATAAATTATAGCATGACATAAGGTAGTGATAAGTGCTAGGGCATAAATAAGCGGGTAGATAGTGATGGGAATGCTCTTATCGACAGGGTACCCTCTGAAGAGATGACGTTAGAACAAGACTTGTTGGGGATGGCGTGAAGGAGAAAGCCATGTGGTTACCTGACACCTGGCAGAGACCACAGCAAGTGCAAAAGCCCTGAAGCAAGACAGAGTTTGGCAACAAAGCAGGAGTAGAGCAACCAAGGGGGTGGCCTGCAGGAGGGGAATCAGAGGGGTATCTACAGGTTGTCAGATTATGCAGAGGCTTGCAGGTCAATAAAAATCACTGCAGTCATTGAGCCCCTACTTCCTGCTAGGCTTGGGATTACCATATTTTAATAATCAAGAACCCCTTTATTCCCTTGTAATCTTAACTAAAACCATCCCACTGAATGATAGAGGTCACCTGGGATTCTAGAGCATCCAGATTCATCAAAAGTGATGGTCTCTCCCAGCTTGCTGCTAACCAACACTCTTTCTCTCTCTATCAAAAAAAACATATTCCTAGAGCAGAGAAATCCATTTTTTAAGTGCAAAGAGATATTTATTTATCATCTTAGTTATCTAAAATACTTGCCTTAACTTTTCCTTATATTGGGCAAGGTCTGATAACAAATGCATGATTTCTGCACCTACCTCTTAACGTGTATCCTACAGTGGTCTTCTTTCTTTCAAAAGGTGGTAAAAATTACTTAGAGCACAGCTATACTAACAGGAAAAGATGAAGACAAATTTAACAATAGGCCAGTAGCTCATGGTCTATGGCTTCCATTTTACAAGAGCGAGCTATCATTTCTTGCTTGGTCTATGACATTGAGGCTACTTTGTATGAAAATATGCAGGTTTTAAATTAGTTATTGGAGAGTTCTAAGATTGTTTCCCAAAAGAAATGAAGTCATAAATAAATCTAAAGATATTTAATAAGACTTTCTGGTCCTTACTAACAAGAAAAATATAAATTGAACTTGATTTCCTACATTTTTGTTATCTTCAGTCAAAAGTGAGAAGACAAACAAGAATAAACCCTCCTACATGCAGACCTATATAGGACAATTTCCTGGAGGTAGAATCATTTTAAGATGAGAGTGTTTCAACCTATCCAAAAAGCACCCAGGACTTTGTTTTTAGAGGTCATGTTCCAGACTCCCTGCTGATCTTGTCTTGCATGGAAAGTATTGAAAATTCATTTTCTAAATCTGACATTGGCATCTCAAAGCTTCCCCTGAGAAGGCTAAAATCAAAACCAAACCTGTTGCCGTCAGGTCAATTGTGACTCACAGCGACACTATAGGACAGAGTAGATCTGTCCCATAGGGTTTCCAAAGAGCAGCTGGTGGATTCGAACTGCCGACCTTTTGGTTAGCAGCCAAGCTCTTAACCACCGTACCACCAGGCCACCCTTAGAAGGTTAGTGTTTGGTTAATTCAATCATAATTTATCACTTTATTGCCAGCTATTATAACCTAGAGCTTATCTGATTAGTATTAATGTCCCAGGATACCCAGGAAATTTTCTTTTCCTTACTGGTGTACAAGAAGCTTAAGAAAACAACTCTGTCCCTTCATAAGAAAAAGATCCTTATGGTAAACAAATCATCTATCTCCTCATTACATTTTCAGCTTGAACTCTTCTTCCTCCGTGTGTGTGTGTGTGTGTGTGTGTGTGTGTGTGTGTGTGTGTGTGTGTAGTGTTGCTTGGTCTGGCCAGTGCATCCTATTTAACAACTTACTCTTTGCTACTAGGTCAAACCTGGAGATTAGCTATGCCAAAGGACTTCAGAAACTGGCAATCAAGCTGAGCAAAGTATTACAGAGCACGAAAAAAAAGTAAGTATCATGGAAGAGGTAAGGCAAAATCATTCTGAAAAATAATAAAAAGTGACATATATGCAGTTTCAACTTCCTCTTACAAACATGGCAGGTATATAATGTCAAGCATGACTTCCAGTTTTTGGGTGCTTACTGTATGCCAGACACTGCTCAATACTTTATAGGCACTCTCATTTAATCCTCACAACAAGGCTTGAGAAGTTTTATTATTCCTATTTGCAGATGTGGACGTGAGGCTTAAAGAGTTTAAAAAACTCACACAAATAATGCACCATAGAGCTGAATTTATCCTAGGTCTTTATGAGTTCTAAACTCACATTCATCACTGGACTTTGGTGATAATATTTAACTTGGAACGTGGTGCTGTTAAGTCGGAAGGCCTTGGACTCAGGAAGTACGGAGCCTGCTTTATCTCTTACTCTCTGACTTCAGTAAGTAGCCTGGACTCTCTGCGCCTTGGTTTCCTCCTCTGTAAGATGGAGTAAGGAGATGTGCTCCATTGTGTGTATGTGTGTGGAGGTGGAGGGGTGCATACTAAATGAGATAATGAAATAATATATGTAAACACCTTAGCACGTTTGGTGCCGAAAAAAATGTTGGTCCGTATTCTCCTGGCTATATTGTAAGACCAATAATGAAGCAGATTTCTTCTTTTGAAGGAAATGGTCCATTAGTGATAATTTACTAAGAAAATTCTTGACGAATGCATGCAGACATGATCATAAACTTGGCAGTGCCATTACAAAGGCCTCTTTTGATTGTAAGAGAGACAGAAAGAAAAAAGAAATCTCTGGAGCTCAAATTTCTATTCTTCCTTAGTCATCATCTATAATAGCAAATGATGGTTTTGAAATTGCTCTGACTTTTGCCTCTATTTTTATTTTTAGAATAGTATTTTACTAGACTATAGAAGAACCTGTATAGCACAGTGGTTGGTAAAGATAGACTTTATTTAGACTACCCAAGTTTAAACTCTAGGTCCACATACCAGGTGGGTGACCTAGGACATTTACTCCTCAGGGTCTCTTTAAAATGGAAATAAAACCTAGCTCACAGGGTTACAATGAGGATTAAATGGGATAATACAGGAAGAGGGTTTGGCAGAGTACCTGGCACAGAGCGAATACTCCATAAATGTTCGTTATGATATTGATTCTAATTATCTTCTTAAGAATGAGAGGTATAGTGGTCTAGGGTTACGTGTCTTATTAGTGTTGTAACCCTAGCATCCATCATAGTACTACTAAAGAGTTGACATGTCCATGTTTGATTAACCAGGATTAGTATAACAATATTTAATAATAAACATTAATTGAATTTTTATCTATACTAAAATTTGATTAGGTATTTGTACAGAAATCCCAAATTATTTCTATCTTAAAAGGTCAGTGAGGTGAGGGTCAGAGAAACCAGTGATTTTTCCAAGGTCTCAAGGAAATAAGGGGAGCATCTGGATCCAAACACAGGTCTCTGTCTCCAGTGTTGGTGATTTCCAGCTCTGCTCAACAGCTCCCCGAAGGGGTAAATGTCAGATTCTTTTCGGAACAAGGTGCCTGGCTTCTTTTTTTAAGTCAACTTTATTGAGATTTAATTTCCATACAATAAAAATCTCTGATTTTAAGCATACAATTTGATAAATGTTGACATATGTATATATCCGTGTAACCACCACCAGAATCAAAATCTAGACATTTTCATTACCCCTGTTATGGATTGAATTGTGTCCCCCCAAAATACATGTCAGCTTGGCTGGCCTTGATTCCCAGTATTGTGTGATTGTCCACCATTTTATCATCTGATGTGATTTTCCCATGTGTTATAAATTCTAGCTCTATGATGTTCATGAGGCAGGATTAGCGGCAGTTATGCTAGTGAGGCAGAACTCAATCTACAAGATTAAGTTGTGTCTTAAGTCAATCTCCTTTGAGGTATAAAAGAGAGAAGCGAGTAGAGAGACAGGGGGACCTCATACCACCAAGAAAGTAGTGCCAGGAGAAGAGCGCATCGTTTGGACCTGGGGTCCCTGCAATGAGAAGCTCCTAGATCAGGGGAAGATAGATAACAAGGAACTTCCCCCATAGCCGACGGAGACAGAAAGAAAGAGAGAGCTTTCCCCTGGAGCTAGCACCCTGAACTCGGACTTCTAGCCCCCTAGACTGTGAGATAATAAATTTCTCTTTGTTAAAGCCATCCACTTGTGGTATTTCTGTTATAGCAGCACTAGATAACTAAGACAACCCCCAAAAGTTGCTCGTACCTTTTTGCAATCCCTTCCCCATCCAACCTCAAGCAACCACTGTTCTGCTTTCTACCTACATAGATGAGTTTTTTTCTTTTCTGGAATTTCCTATAAATGGAAGCACACAATATATACCCTCAGGTGCGTGGTTTTGTGCCTGGCTTTGGGTAAGCAGAAAATCTGGCATCCTTTGATCTAGTTCTCCCATTCTCAGACTGCATGGTGCAACCTAACCCGTTAGGAGGCAAAACCCCCGTACCATCCTGATTTTTGGCAGGGATGCAGATCTGTCTTCTCCCTCCCCTCCCCTCATCATAGTTTACACAGGTGTCTGTCCCTGAGGTTTGCTGACACAGTAGGGCTTACTGTCCTGCCTTTTGAAGGACTGCTGTGAGCTGTGCCCCTTCTATGGAATACTAAGTGTGACTAGGGCTTCCCTTGTGGAGAAAATACCGTGGCACTTCCTAATTCTCCCTCCATGCTGCTGGGAAGAGGGTTGTGCCATCCTTCATGTTAAATTGGGATATGTCTTACAAGACCATAAAATATCTTAGTTTTCCTAAAAGCCAGCAGGCAACAGGAGCTGGATCCCATCCCCAGGAGCAGCAAGCAGGACATGACCAGGGCGCTGGAGTCCTTCATCACTCACTATCTTAGTTTGCTAGTGCTGCTGTAACAGAAAAATCACAAGTAATGGTATTTTAAAGAACAGAAATTAATTTTCTCACAGTTTAGGAGGACAGAAGTCCAAATTCCGAGCACCAGCTATAGGGGAAGACTCTCATTCTATTGGCTGTAGGGGAAGACCCTTGTCTCTTTCACCTTCTGTAGCCACAGTGTTGTTCCTCGATGCCTTGGTGATCTTCGTATGGCATCTGTCTTCCCCAGTATGTGCTTGCTTCTGTGTCTAATCTGTTCTTTTTGTAACTTGAAGTGATTAAGTTTAGGACACACCCTACACGGATATGGCCTTATTAATATAACAAAGAAAATCCTATTCAGAAACAGATTACAGCCACAGGTATAAGGGTTGGGATTCCAATCAACCCATATTTTGAGGGGACATAATTCAATCTGTAACGCTTACCTTCTCTGAGCCTCAGTTTATTCATCTGTGAAATGAGGATCCTGGGAAACATTGTCTTTAAGGCCCTTCTGACCCTAGCGTCTTATGTCCCACCTGTTCTAAATGCCGTCTCTCTCTTGGCTACTTTATTCCACCAATTTTCTATAGAAATGAAATGGAAAAGTAAAAATCTAAGTGAAAAATGACGAAGAAAGCAGTATAAATAATTACGATAGTGCAAAGAAATATATTGATAGAATTTAATCCTATGGAGAAATTGAAATTAGATTAGGGAAATGAATGTAATTGCTACACACAGTGAATCAGATACAATGCTTTATTTCTCAGAGTTGACTGGGAAAATGACAGCCATCCTTGTCCCACCCCGCCCCCCAACCCGTTTTTGCCTGCAGCTGCCTCACCATCGCCTGGAACTGGGCCTCAGAGGGCATGAAATCCTCAGCAGACCTGCATCAGTGAGTGATCCCACTGCCTTACTCCAGCCCAAAAGGAATTGTAAATATTTGAAGTGGATGCTACAAAGATTTCATTTCAAACTTGCACTGAGTAGACACACCATAACATACCATTTTATTGCCCCCGAAAATAATTTGGAAAGTAGATGTAAATCCTAATACTATGCTTGTGTGTCTTTTATGTTCTATTCCCAGAAAACTTGGTAAAGCAATTCAGTTGGAAGCAATAAAACCGACTTATCAAGTCCTGAGTGCACAAGAGAAGAAGAGAAAAGCAGTGAGTCAAAAACCTTTCTTTTCTCCCCTATTTAAAGCAAGATTTCTGTCTTTGCCCAAAGGAGGAAAAGATGATCTAAAAGTGATGCTAGGCTTCAGGAATTTATCATAAAAAAAATAAAAAATGCAAACCCAAGATGTGTATACAAGGATTTTTGTTAGAGCATTGTTTAACAGTGAAGAACTGGAAACTGCTTATATGTCCAAGAAAAAGGTTTGTAAGTTTTGCCCTAACTTACAACTGATCACCCTGGAGGGTTGTCTAGATTCGTTTTCATCCCTATCATTATTATTACTGACTCTTATGCTATTTAAAAGCAGAAAAAAAGTTAGTTGTGATTAAGAATTCAGTCTCTTTGAAATTAAAGTAGTATTCACTTCAGGGGCAATGGACACAGTAAAATTAGCACTGCTAGGACCGTCATCCATCTTTATGGTGTTAAAGTTTTGCCACAGGGGTTGATGTGGGAGGGGATGTGATGGGACTGGAAGTGATACCAACTATACAGGGTCCTACTCCACGCTCATTGCACATATGTATGTGCTTTTTACATTCATATAGATTAGAAATAATTATTTTACCAAATGAATTTAGTCTAAAACCTTGGACCTGTGGCATGACCCAGAGATTCTTGACAGAAAAAGACAGTTAGGCTACATTTCTCAGAAAATATGTCCACTGTAGGATTTTGAAAATCCCGTGGATTATGGTAGTTAGTGATTGTGCCAGAATTATTAAGCCAGCACCATGACTCAACAAGAAGAAAGTAAAACTGTTTTTTTTCTTTTTTCTCTTTAATAGCTTGATAATGAAGTCCAAAAGACGGCAGATCTTGTCATTAGCAACTGGAACCAGCAAATTAAGGCAAGTATCCACAAATATATGCCTAAACTCAGTTTTTAGGATTGGACCTTTTTGCTTTTGCACAAACATGATAATGTGTTTTAGCGTTAGTACTTGCAGGTGCTAACTTAAGAGAAAAATGCTTCCTCACCTGAGTTATTACACATATGTAGCTTTCAACCAAGAGCATGGTTCTAAATTTGGTTATTATTTATAGCTAACACGTAACATTTATTATGTGCCGAAGTGCTACATAGTTATGTATCTGATCATCACAAAAACCTAATTAGGTAGGTGACCTTGCATTGTCCTGTTTTATAGATGGGAAAACTGAGACACAGAGAGGTTAAATAATTTGCCTAAGGTTACAAACCTGTCAAGTGGTTGAACCGGGATTTGTTTATAAGTAGTGGGCTCCAGGGTTACTGCCCTTAACTATTACACTGCACTGACTGCCTGTCTGTATATTCTGTAATCTTGGGCAAGTGACAAACACCATCTGAGTTTTGATGTTTTATTTGTAGAAAGGAGTTAGTGATCTCTACCTCACTACTGAGAGGGCTTAGTGAGGGGTGGGGAGTGATTAGTAAAGGCGAATGCATATATTGACTCCACAAATACGTATGGTGCACACTACGCCAAGATATGGTTCTTATTTTCAAGTAACGTAAAACTTAGTTGGCTAGATAACATGTTCATGAAATAATGAATAAATTCTAAGAAAAGGAATTATCATCTAGTGTGAGAAGCTAGGGCATATCATTATAGGTTCTTAAAACCTGCTGCCATTGAGTCAACTCCAACTCATGCCCCATATATGTAAGGTAGAACTGTACTCCATAGGGTTTTCAATGGTTGATTTTTAAGAAGTAGATTGCCAGACCTTTCTTCTGAGGCACCTCTGGGTGGACTTGAACTTCCAACCTTTCGGTTAGCAACTGAGTGTGTTAACCATTTGCACTACCCAGAGATTCCTTATAGGTTCTTATACAGAGAGAATAATGGATGGAACTTATACATATAGATTATTCTAGAACAATTTAGTACAGGAGGAAATCATTTCAAGCAGGAAGGACTAGAAGCCAATGGAGAGGAAATCTTCTAAGTAACCCTTTTGGCCTGATCCTCTTTGAGAAGACCTGTGCTTCAAAAGCTAACATTCTCTTTTTTCATCTCCAAAGTGGCAGGAGTCTTCTCAAATGAACAGCCACTAGTGCCAAATAGTTAGAGAAGCCCCTCAGAATTGGGAGAAGGGGTGGACATCATGGCCCTCAGTGTTGCCTCTGACGCTTCTTCTGAAACTGATGACTCCATAAGACCAAGGACTTATGCTAAGAAATGTTTGAGACGGATGAATTTCTATACCAACAGTAGTTATACTTGGAAACGATGCTCACAAGAATCATTTTATAGCAAATATTCAAAATGTCGGAAAAAAGTATCCAGTCATTTGTTTTTAGTTTTGCTCTTGATTTTACAAACTTTCTTAAAAAGGACTTGTTTTTAAAAATACATTTTCTCTTAAATACAGACAGTCCCCAGTTTACAAAATTCTGTCCAACTTGCAGACAAACTTAAGAATGGATTGCCATAAAGCCTATTATATTAAAAATTTGAGTTAAATACGATGGTTCGTAGTAACAAACGCACACACTACTTTGCGATACAATGAAAACATCGCACAGTTTAGAAGTGTTTCTTAAGCGTTTTAAATACATAAAGAGGTAAAGTATATACTATATACTAAGACAAACATTTGACTAACTGAGGCTAAATAAGAACCATATGTACCTGTTCTGACTTACCTACAAATTCAACTTAAAGACAGACTTACGAATGGATCTTGTTAGTAACTCGAGGACTGCCTGTACTCAGTTTTCACAGGGAATTCAACATAATGGACCAAAAGCCAGAAACAATGCTCAGAAGTTGCAATTGCTGCCAGGAACAAAAATCGTCTTTTATTATTTCCCAGTTTCTACCAACTAAATTTTCTAAATAAAATGATTTTTTTTTTAAATGAAAGTGACAGAGAAATTAGAGAACATAAAAGTCTTGAACTATAATAATCTTTCCACGTTTACAGTTCAAGGGGTTGAGCATGTCAATAATGAAGTAGGGTCTGTTTTGGAGACACAAAGGGAAAGCCTTAAAGGACCAAATGCTCTTGCCTCATACTCTCATTAATCAGCCTGCATGTGACCCACTACAGGTTGGGGAGGAGGGCCTATGAGCTTCTTGTTCCTTGAATTCGTTTTAGAGATATGTGGAAGACTTTGCCCCCAATTCCCAAGGTAAAAGCCAAGGAAAAGCAAGACTTAGGCATTTCCCCTTCATTATCTATGTTTATGGCCCTTGTAACCTTGAGGTGAAAAGCCAGTCTTTTAATCAACCAGTTCCTAAATAGGCTAAATCAAACCAAATTCTTTTTTAACTTATTTTATCTCTGGAATATCATCTTTTACCAAGTTCCAACTGTATAGAACAAAAAATGATCACCTGAATCTTAACCCGCTCCTAGATCTGAGGCATCCAAAGGATAGGGGGACTTTGAGCACTCCCTCCATCCCTACCTCTTCTCTTACCTTTCCTTCCCTCATCTGTAAAAGTGCAGACCATTTCACAGGATGTCCAGCAAATACCCAGCTTCCCAAGTCCAGGCATCAAGAAGAAAAATTTCTCCCTTGCAGCAAGTTTTAAAACAGCATCTTAAAATTACCTCAGCTGTGGCCCAGGTTGATTTAAAAGATTGATGCTGGAAGTCTTCTGTGCTAGAACAATGTTCAGAAGGCCTGCAGGCCTGCAGTGATTCAGCAAAATGTATGACCCTCTTGAGTGTACTCAATATGGTGAAAACTATACAGTGGTTTTCAGGGCAAAATGTTAGCTGCTATGATATTTTAGGCAGATTTTGAGGCAAAGGCAGGGAGGAAGAACTAAAAATACACGATAATTTAAGCTCACACATAGACATGCCTTGTTCCAACACAGAACAGCTTTTCTCTTGGTGTCAGTTTCTGCTCCTTTTTCTGTGAGTGTGTGTGTGTTTGACTCTAGGCTAAGAAGAAATTAATGGTGAGTACCAAGAAGCATGAAGCACTTTTCCATCTTGTAGAAAACTCCAAGCAATCCGTGACTAAGAAGGAAAAGCAGAAGGTAAGCTGTCATGGCCCCCTGGGTTCGTGTGCCTGGAGGTGGATGAGCTTCCTGCCCTTAGCTGTAAACAAGGAGGACTGGCTGAGTCCTCCCTGCTGTGGGGTCTCTACAGAGCTGTAGAATGGCAGAGCATTAAAAGAGATTCCAAATCATTCTTGGTCCACATACTTTTTTTTTTTTTTTACTTCTTTATTGTACTTCAGGTGAAGGTTTACAGAACAAATAGTTTCTCATTAAACAGTCAGTACACATATTGTTTTATGACATTGGTTAACAACCC